CAAAGGAAGGGAACAGCTTCTGCTGTAGTTTTGAACCACTTCTCTGCCTTTCCGCTAAGATCAAGTATATATTTGTGGTGGCCTACCTGGTTGGCCCCAGTAAATCCTGATAACTGGCTTCTTCCCAGAGATCCAAGGCCTGTCTTCTTCACTATATGGAGTCCCTGTGCTAGGTTACAAAGGGCAGGATCAACTGCAAAAGGGAAGACAAAGGCTAGGCCCCCAGACAAAGGGAATAGACTGCTAGAAAGTCAGGAATCAAGATTAGAACCTGAGAACTCCTATTTACTTGTTTTGGAGACAGTCTCACTATGTAGTTCAGGGCAGCCTTGAATTCAGGCTGACCTTGAACTTCTGGAGATCACCTTAACCTTCCTGAGTGCTCAGATTAGAGGTGTGTGCCACCATGCCCAGCCTTATTTACTGATCAGACCTGGAACACACTCAGCAAGCACTCTACCACTGTGCTCCATCCCTAGGCAGTTCCCCAATTTTGATGCATTGCTTTACACCCACTGACTGACACGGGCTTTGGAGGTAGCACTAGGTTCACATCTCTATCTTACCACTTAGTAGCCATAGAACTCAGGATAAGCTTGCTCCATTTAACTGGATCTAAATTCCCTTACATGTAATAATGGGGTCAATTCCACACAATTTCCAGAGATATGGAAAGGATTATATTAAATAATAGGAAAAACACCTTGCATATTATAGGTTTCTAATAGATATTACTTTTTCCCCCCTTAACCCTTCCCTTAACAAACCGAAAAAAAAAAGGGTAAAAAAAAAAACTCAAAAGAAAACTGGAAATAAATCATTTAGAATGTTGAGCTGTTTTTGGGTTAATCCAAATCTCAGTGCTTGGTACAATTTTATAATCTGGTAGAGAAATTTTGTGAAGACTAAGATTAACTTCATAGACCTAACCTGGTCCCAGGTCAAAGGTACATGCTTGGTCAACAAATTGTTAAATAAATGAATGAATGAATGAATGAAATGAATGTTGGATTTCATACAAGCAGAGGCTGGAGCACATGTAGAACACAGAAAATCATTAATTCAAATTAGAGCTATAAAAGAAATATACAAGTAGTCAATATCAAAATTAGAGTCGTTCCTAGTAACCCTAACAATAACAAAAGCAAGTAGGGCCAGGAGATTATGAAGGGGAGATTCTTAGACACGATTGCCTAGGACTAATACTAATTATCACAAAGGACTCTGCAAGACAACATTAAAGAGGCTAATTCCACGTGATACACCAAGACATCTGCACAGCAATGCTTCCTCTTAAATTGACAGCACTTTTGTTATTAATCACTGTGGCCAAGCACTGTTGTTTCCAAAATA